CTGAGACAGATAGTCTGCACGTGATCTTAGCCAAAAGGTCGAGAAGCAATTAGAGACAGACAGTCTGGAGACAAGCTTTCTCATTCACTGAAAGAATAGCTTTCGGACAAAATGGTTAGCCTCTTCAAGACAGTTTTCTGTGCGGTAAAATGGGAAAAGGGTCCTTCTCTATGCCATCCTCTTGTTTGCAGGAGTGAGCACCCAGGCCAGTGGCCGCTGCTCAAGGAGGGCTCACCAACGGGCTGCTGCTGTCCCCACTGAGGCTGTGGGGGCAGGGGCATCAGCATGTGCTCCAAGGCCGCCTCCCCCTCTCAGCCCCAGTCACCAGCCTTCCTTTTCAGGAAAAGAACAACCCACATTGCCCTGCTGGCCTGCTGCTGCTAGCAAACACCAACAGTCAAAGCAAAACAAGGTGCATTATCGAATTTATGACTGATCTAGTCCACTTATTCGCAAATGGACAGCAGGGTCAGCTCAGGACTGAAGTCAAGCTGTCCTCTATTTTCCCCTCCTTTCGACTGTAAAATCCTCATTAATCGTATCAGAGCCTCAGGTACAAGACTGTCTAAATCAGCCGGCTGTCACTCATCACAGCAGAGCTAGGAGGCCCTGGAGCAGTCTACGTCCAAGTCCAGGAAAATCGAGATGAGCTTCCTCCGTGTGGCTCCGAACTTCACCAAAAAGAAAGCTCTGTCATGAATTGCAGCTTTCACAAGACCAGAGAGAAAAGGTCTCATGTTCCGAGAGGGGAGAGCCGCGTGGAGAACAGGAGCAGCCCCACTCCAAGGTCACTCTGAAGCATGAGCCAAGGGAGACAGCAGAACACGCAACTTTAGACACCTGTAAGGAAACAATGGCCATCTTCTAAGGTTATAAAACAGTCCCCTCATTCAAAACTAACTTAAGAGTAACTAATGAAAACATTCACAACTAAGAAAGTCAAGTCCCTAACTGCGTATGCATTTGAGGAGGCAAATTTTGAAATTAAAGAATCAAAATTAAGTCCCTATCACTGTGCTATAGACAAAACCAATCAACTACCTGACACTCCAACAAGGGTAAAAATCTAGTGAAGTGCTCACCAACACACTGATGTCAGAAGAGACTCTGAAACTTGCACTGGCACGAAATGTAGCCCAATGAAGGAATGCTGAGCTAAAAAAGCTAAACAGAAGATTTCAAAAGACAGCAGGAGAACACAAAGCAAAGTACTATTATGAATTATGCAAGGAGCTGGAGACAGAAAACCAAAGCGAAGAACGCACTCAGCATTTCTCAACAAAATGAAGAACGAATTCAAGACCGAAGCAGCAGTACTGAAAGGAAGAATCTTAAAGATACAGAGCGCCATCAAAAGAAAGGAATACAGAGTTACTGTACACACAAATGCATCTGTCAACACTGAACTATTTCAAGGCGTAGCATATGACCAAGAAATACCAGTACTGAAGGAAGATATACAAGCTGCACTGAAGACAGTGGCAAAAAATAAGGGCCCAGGAAATGATGGCATGCCAACTGACGTGTTTCAGCTAAAAGATAGAACGCTGGACATGCTCACCAGTCTTTGCCAACAAATAAGAAAAACAATTTACCCAGCCAACTGACTGAAAGAGGTCCATATTTGTACCCATTACCAAGAAAGGTGATCTAAAAGACTGTATCTAGCAAAATTATTAATATCGCATGCAAACTCCTGCTGAAGATTATTATAAAAACAGCTGGAATGAAAAAAATATATTAAAATAAACTTAAGGAAAAAAACAGCTAGAACAGCACATCAAAGGAAGACTCTTAGTATCCATTTGGTTTTTTTTACTGTGTCTTGTTCAGGACATTTTACAAAATGCCTTGTTTCACTTAGGGTTTCTGGACAGGAAAGTTCTACTAAAATTCTTTTAATTTGTTTAGTTTGAATATAGACTAGGAGTTTTGTTTTTTTTAAACTAGGGCTTATTTTAAAAAACTTTGAGTTTAACTCAAATATATGCCAATACCTTCCAAAGTAAGGTAATAATATTCAGAAAGCATTGATGGCTTAAAGAAATTTCTGGAATATTAACATTCAAAGATTCCTTATTAATGAATGAATGTCTCTAAGTTTAACCTAACCAAAAACAGAAACATCATTCTTTGTACATTTTCATGATAGAGTGTTAACAAGCTTAGTTGCAAAACAAATAAAATACTTAGCTATTAAAAAAAGAGAGAGAGAGAGAACCTGGAAATTCGAGCGGGGTTCAGAAGAGGTCGTGGCACAAGAGCTATCACTGTTAATGTCAGAGAACACAAAAAAACATGTTTACTTGTGTTTTGTTGCCGACAGGTGTCATCAAGTTGCCTGCGACTCACAGCGACCCTTGTGTGTAATAGCTCTGAGCCCTGCCCTATCCTGAGCCAGTCTTACCATCTCCAACACACCTATCCCCCTTACCCCAGTTATTGTGTCAACCCATCTCGTCTGAGGTCTGTCTCTACTGTGTTGTCCCTCTATCCTTCCAAGAATGATGTCCTTCTCCAAGAACTGGCCCCTCCGGGCAACATGCCCAAAGTACATGAGATGAAGCATCAAAATCTTTTCCTCCAGGAGGAAACTTGGTTTCACCCTCTCCAAGACAGACTTGTTTGTTCTCTTGGACATCCATGGTATGTTCAGGACTCTTCTCCAACGTTACAACACAACTTCTTTCATCCTGAGTCACTGTCCAGCTCTCTGATGCATACCAAGTAACCAAGAATACTATGGCCTGGATCAGGTGTACCTTAGTCTCTAGACTGACTCTGGAGAGGTAACAGAGGTAGTTCGTCTTTTTTTTTGTAGTTCGTCTTTTGCTTTCCTGACTGCTGGTGCCAGAAGTGTTGGTTGTGAAACCTGGTAAGCTGTTGACAGTTAAGATCAGTCTCCATCTGTCATGACGCTGCCAACTGGCCCAGTGGTGAGAATCTGTCTTCTTGATGGTTGAATCTCAATCCATACTGAAGACTACAGTCTTTGACCTTCGGCAGCAAATGCTTCAGGTCCTCCTCCATTTCAGCAAGCAAAGTCGTGTCATCTGCATAACGTGCGTTGCTGACAAGTCTTCCTCCAAACCTGATGCCCCATTCCTCCTCATTAAGCCATGCTCCCCAAATGATCTGTTCTACATACAGACTGAAAAAGTATGGAGATAGGACTTGTCCCTGATGCACTCCTTCACTGATGTTTAATTATGCAGTATTTTCTGTTCTGACAACTACTTCCTGGTCCAAGTATAGGTTTCACATGAGCACCATCCTGTGTTTTGGCATTCCTATTCTTCTCAAGCTTAGCCCCAACTTGTTGTGATCCACACACTCAAATGCCTTTGCACAGTCAATGAAACACAGATAGACACTCCTCTGATACTCTTTGTGCTTTACCGATTATGCAAAAAGCATTTAATTGTGTGGATTATAACAAATTATGGCTAGCATTGAAAAGAATGGGAATCCCAGAACACTTGATGGTGCTCATGCAAAATCCACGCATACACTTAAAGCAGACATCCAAACAGAACAAGGAAATTGTTTTAAATCAGGAAAGGTGTGTGTCATGGTTGTGTCCTTTCTTCAAATCTATTCAATCTGCATGCAGATCAAATCATTCAAGAAGCTCCACTATAAAAATAAAATGGCATCAGATTGAAGGAATACTCAACAATCTGCAGTATGCAGATGACACAACCTTGCTTGCTGAACGTGAGGAAGACTGGCAGCACCGCCACAGAAGGTTCACACCTACAGCTTACCGCAGAGGGGACCTCTCAGCAGCAAGGGGAAAACATCACTACTGGGCCAACAGACAACATTAGGATAGATGGGAGAAATGGCTGAGGTTGCCCTGGATTTCATTTTACCACAGTTGTTGTTGTTAAGTACCATCAAGTCAAGTCCAACTCATAGCAACCCCATAAGCAAAAACTCTGAACCCTGCTCTATCCTGCGCCATCCTCACACTTCCTGACACACGAGAGCCCACTGCAGCAGTCACCGTGTCAATCCACCTGGTTGAGACGCTCCCTCTCCTTCACTGACCTTCCACCCTTCCCAGCATCATGAGCCTCTCCAAGGAACAGCCCCTCCTAGCAACATGCCCAGCGTATGTGAGGCAAAGCCTCATTATTCCTGCCTCCAGGGAGCACTCCAGCTGCACTCTCTCCAACACATAACTGTTGGTTCTCTTGGCCATCCATGGAATGTTCTATGGTAACAGCAGTCAGGAAATCAAACAACATGTTGCACTGTGGAAATCTGCCGTCAAGAACCTCTCCAGAGTTCTAAAAGGCAAGGATGTCAGCTTAAAGACTAAGGTATACCTGATCCAAGCCATGGTCTTCTCAACTGTTTCCTATGTATATTAAAGCTGGACAAGGAACAAGGATGACCGAAGAATTGATGCCTCTGGATTGTGGTGCTGGAGAAGAGCACCGAATATCCCACGGATGGCAAGAGAACAAACAAGTCTGTCTTGAGGACAGTGAACTAGAGCGCTCCTTGGAGGCAAAGGTGATCAAACTTCGTTTCACTTAGTCTGGACTATTTTGAGGAGAAACCAGTCGATGCTTCCAGAGTCTTCCATGCTAGGAAAGGTCAGCACCAAATAAGATGCCCATCCATGAAATGGACTGACAGGGTGACTTCCACAACGGACTCGAGCATGACCCAGAGCGTGAGGAAGGGGCAGGCTAGAGCAAGGTTCAGATCTACTGCTCACAGGGTAGCTACGCTCACAGCGAACACAAAGGCACTAACAACAATCGCAACAATACACCTGAACTACGACGGCCTGATTTAAGTCTCCCATGAGAAGACATGTAATAGTCTTCTTCTCTGGAGATGAAAATTGATGTCTTGTGATAAGAAAGGGTGAAGCTGTAATATCTAAAGTATTTCTAGCTGATAAACCCACAGATGAGCCTACTGTCTTATTCTACAGGAGACAGAACCAAGGTATCGGCGTACTTAACAACAAAGAGTCCTACCTGATGGAATCCTGGTTCAGAGAACACTCAACGCACGCATTGCGGAGACACCGGAAACATTCTGTTATTAACTGCAAGCTGGAAGCCAGATGCTCTGTTTGGGATGGGTCTCTGCAGGCCAGTTCAATATCGTGAGATGATTTCTTTAAGATACCCAGGACTCTCTGGAAGATACTCCTGGGTGCTGTTTCTCTGAAAGAGAACAAAACTGTGTATTAGTTATCAGAGGAAGACAAAAGGAAACATACTCAACTCCCAAAGGTCCTGTTCTGAAAACAGCTTGGATGTACTTGTGAGAGGAAGAAAGCTGGGTCCTTCCTTCTACTCCAGATTCCTTATATTACAATACAACATGAAAGTCAAGTCCACATACTGTACAGTTACTGTGCCTTTTCTGTAATATCTCAGTGAGTCTTTCTAATAATTTATGAAGCCAATCCTGTCTTCTCCACTCAAAAGTCTAACTCTCGTAAAGGTAAATTAAAAAACACAGGAGAAAGAAAACAACAAAATTATTGTCAGAAGAGCTTGAAAACTGCACTATAATATCAAGAAGCCACAAGGGGGAAAAATGCCACAGCAAGAGATGAGTAGTAGATTTCAAAGGGCAGCATGAAAAGACAAAGGATTACAACAAAGTGGGCAAAGGGCTGGAGTTAGAAAATAAAAGGGAAGAATTCACTCAGCAGTTGTCAGGATGAAAGACCTGAAAACTAATTCAAGCCTCAAGTTGCAATTCTGAAGGATGCTATGGACAAAATCTTGTACAATCCAGTAAACATCAAAAGAAGATGGAGGGAATACAGAGAATCACAGTACCAAAAAGAACTGGTATAATGGTGATGAAGGAAGTAGTTCAAGCTGCACAGAAGGCACTGGCAAAAATTAAAGCCCCACAAATCAATGGAATACAAATGGAAGGGTTTCAACACAGAGATGCAATCCTGTATGTGCTCTCAACCTATACCAAGAAATGTAGAAGACAGCTACCGGGCCAACTGAATGGAAAAGATCCTTCCTTATCTGTTCTCATTCCCAAGAAGGGTGATCAAAAAAATGTAGAAGTTACTGAACAGTATTATTACTATCACATACAAGTAAAATCTTTCTGAAAATTATCAAAAAGTGACTAGAACAGTACATCAACCCGAGAACTGACAGAAATTCAAGCTGGAGTCACAAGAAGCCATGACACCAGAGATATCGCTACTGATGTCAAATGGATTGTTGCTGAAAATAGAATATTAGAAGGACGTCACTTTGTTTTATACTGACTCTGTAAAGGGAGCTTTGGTGGCTCAGTGAAGGTGTGATGTAATCTCAAAGGCAAGCAGTTCCAGGCCACTAGCTGCTCCGTGGGAGAAGAATGGGCAGTCTCCTCCCATTCAATTAACTGCCTCTGAAAACCCACTGGAAGGTCAGCTATGGGTCAGTTCCAACTCTATGGTATACAACACTGACTATGCAAATGTATTTGACTGTGGGGATCATAAATCCTTATGGCTAACAGTGACAAGAACGGGAATTCCAGAACACTTAATTGTACTCAGGTAAAACCTATACCTAGGAAGAAAACATGCAACAATGAATAAAAATTTAAAAATAGCACTCTATACCTACATCAAGAAGCTGTCATCTGAGGCGAGCAAGGGAAAACTGCAGGAAAGGGGTGCAGCAGGGTTATAGCTTTTCTCCATACCTATTCAATCTATATTCCGAGCAAGTGATTCGAGAGCCATGACTTCATAGAGAGTGTGGCATCAGAGTCCAAGGAAGACCCATCAACAACCTGCGTTATTTAGGTGACACATCTTGCTTGCTGAAAGTGAGGAGGAACTGAAACATGTGCTGCAGAAGACCTAAACTACAGCCCTCAATATGGACTGCATATCAACAACAACAAGACAAAAATCTTCATCACGGGTTCAACAGGCAACACAATGATATAGATGGGGGGGGGGGGTGAAGTTGTCAATGATTTCCTCTTGCTCAGATTCAAAATCAACACTCCTGGCACTACAAGTCAAAAAAGCAAAAGACACACTGCACTGAGTAAACCTGCTGTCAAGGACCTAAGGTGTCAGGAAGCAATGATGTCAGTTTAGAAAGTAAGGCGCACCTGATCCAAGACAAGGTCTTTTCATGGACTTGTTATGCAACTGAAAGTTGGGCAATTCTGAGTTATGGTGCTGGGAGAAGAGTGCTGAATAGCCCATGGAGTGCCGAAAGAACAAGTATGTCCTGCAGAAAGTGCAGCCACGGGGCTCCTTGGAGGTGGAAATGGTAAAGCTTCATCTCACGTATTTTGGGGGTGTTGTTAGAAGGGGCTGGTCATTGAAAAGGACATCACGTTTGGAAAGGTAGAGGGAACATCCTCAGGAAGATGGACTGACACAGTGTCTCTTACGGTTCAAGTATGTGAAAGGTGATGAGGGTGCACTGAAGGGCCAAGGTTCAGATCCACTGTTCCAACCTCAGTTCAGACAACTGCTCATGAACTTACGACTATGCCCTTCATCACAGCAGAACGTCTGCCTTTCATGTTCCAGACAGAGAGCATAACCTTGGCCTCTCTCAGTAGGTACTTTAAGTTCAATCATAAGGGACAATATTCATGAAGGAGGGGCTGGAAGCCAAGCCCGCCATCTGATCTCGTTACCCAGTAGTAGGGTACCACATGCGGGTAACTTACAAAAATCCAACCACAGAGGTGGAGTGAGAGAGAGGCTTTCAGTGAACCAGCTCCTCCAGGGAAGAAAGATGAACCGGTGTCTGTCCCCTGGGGCATCTCGATTCCCACACACCCGCGCCAGCAGCACTGCCCCTTCTGAGTATCATTCCAGAGCCAAGAAGATTAAGATAAGAATTTTTTTGTGCAACATGGCACCAAAATGCAAGCCAACTTCCTCATTCCTCGAATCCCCTCAAGAAAGGACAACATGTCAGGAGAAAGGCAAGGCAGGAGCATGTTGGTGGGGCCACTGCAGAGACCTTCTCTGTACCTGATGTCACCCCTGGAGCACCGGGCCAATCGAGAGTCGCACCCTGGTATGGTGCTGCCCATATGCAGATGGCAGTCAAGTCCAGCTCCCAACGAGCTGAGGACAGAGCTAAGCTGCATCATCAAGTGTTCTAGGCTGGGATCTTTACGAGGACAGACGGTCAGGACATTTCTGCCACTAAGGCGTGAGTGAGTTCGAACCACTGACCTTTCAGCTAGTGCCTAACCCATAAGCACTGACTGCACCACCAGGACCCCGTTATACAGAACTCCTGCCGGGACCTGTCGGAGTCACTGTGCTCACTCAGGTACAGACACTAAGCATCCCATCTGTGAGGCTCTCCTGTTAGCCCCTGGACCTGGAGCACTTACATGTCAAGTGCTATATTATCATAATATCCTAAAACTGTTAAAATCTAAAGCACCTTCCGTATCAAGCTTTCTTGCCATGAACTTTAGTAAGTCCAGAGTCAGACCAGTAATTCATCTGTAACAAGATGTGGTCATTGGTGCGACTCTGAAAACTTACTTTATTTTCCCAATTCAAATTTTCATTTCTCCCCCAATTTCCTTATCTTTAATTTTATTGTATTGTATTTTCTAGACACATCTCAGATTTGCTTCTGGAAAGAGGCTGGGTATGGTTAATGAAAACGTGTGGACTCACACACCAAACAGCGCCCATGCCTCCTCACACAGGTCCCGCTGAGGTGCATGGTGCAATTGTGCGTGTCAGTGCCAACGTGGCTGAGGGCCCAGGTCTGGGTAACTGGGATGTTCTCCGCACACAAGTGCCTCCTTCCATGGCTGTGCTGGAGTCCCTGCAGCACCGCGCAGGACTTCGCTAACCAAAACATCCGCAGTGTGGATCAGCCTGTTGGCCCTCAGGACAAAGATGGGCAGTCTCCTCCCATGCAGATGAACAGCTCAAGAGAGGGTCACGACTTAGGGCTGTGAGGAGTGTATTACAGTAAAAGGTACGTGACCACGAAGACCTCAAGAGAGCTTTAAGGGGTACTAACACACTGCATGCTTGGAAAAGTAACACGTCAGCAAATGAGAGGAAGACCCTCTACAAGATGAGACTGACACGTGGTTGGATTATACACGATGGAGATTGTGAGGATGGTACAGAACTGGGCAAGGCTTCAACTCTCTGTTCTCAAGGTCACGGTGAGCCAGGATGAGTGGAGGGTCAGGGCGCCTCGTCCCAGGAGTTGTGCTACTAACTCAAAGGCCACGCCAACGGGCAGTTCAGATCCACAAAGGGCTGCAAGTGAGAAAGACGGCCGTCTCCTGTGCGTTTACAGCTTCAGAAATCCCCTGGGGCCTCTGACTCAATGCCAGGGAGTTGAGTTGATGTTAAAGAACAGTATTTTGTAAACATCAACGTGTTAACACCTAAGAGTTTAATACACTGAGAAGAATGCCAAGACGGATCACAATTTCCACAAACGAAGAAATCAGACAACCTGCATAAAGTTTCTTAGGTTTTCTTCCTTGTGTACCGTCGAGTCAGATCCAACTGGCACGGGAGGAGACTGCCCATTCTTCTCTATGGAACATGTGGTGGATTCAAACCACACGCCTTCAGGATTGCAGCTCGGCTTCTTGCCACGAAGCCACCAGAGCTCCCTCTGCATAAAGTTTTGATGAAACTTATTACTTAACCTTACAGTCAAGTAAATGGAGAGCTCCAGCAACTAAAATAATGCCTCTTCATTCCACAAAGATGGCTAAGAGACATTTATCTGGTGGCTTAGCAGTTAGAGAGGTCCATCTAGAATCCACTAGATGCTCCATGCAGGAAGGATGGACAATCTGCTTCCACGTGATTTACTGTCTCTGAAAACCCACTAGAGGGTCAGTGATGGGTTAGTTCTAACTCGATGGTACACAACAACAACAACAAGACGAAGATGAAGAAACCAGCTGCCACTCAGCTGACCCTCGCACTCTCCAGCTCACCACAGGTACTGACTACCATCCCAGTTTTACCTCTTACTGGAAGTCACGATTCACCCATGATTGAAACCTAGCACATCAAAGCTCCGGAATGCGCCTAATGGCAAACTGAACCGGTGGCAGGGAAAGTGGACAACCGCTATTCCCAGCAGAGACAAGGCAGGAAGCTCACGACCCAGCCTTCTGTGAATAATGTCCAATTTTACATGTTAATCTGTCACAGACCATCATCCTTTATCTTTACTATACTTTAACCACAAGGGAAATATTTAACCGAGCTAGAGCCAATCACAAGATTGAAGAATCTAAATAATGATTAATCTACTACTGAAGAGTAACTCAGTGGGGTGGAGGAACAGCGACTGCAACGACGGGCGAGGCGCAGCCTGGGCTGCGAGGATGGCGCGAGGCGGGCTTCACTCTGTCCACCTCGGGGTCACTAAGTCAGAGCCAAATGGGACCAAAATGGACAGCAACAAAGCAGAATCAGAGCAGAGTCTATGAGGTGCCCGTCTGCAGTACACTCAGAAAATCATTCAGGGTAAGATCGCCATCACTTACTGCCCTAAAAAATGCACGGCCACGGACTCTCACCCCTCCGCACCAGCACGTGCCCCCCACATGATCCCCATGCAATTCCCTGCCTAGAACAGTCTTGCTTTTCCTTCTAAGCCCTAGTGAAACGCCTCCTCCACTCCGGGCAGAACGGCTCCCATCTCAACTCCACTCATAAGCCAGAGGAAAGCGCGCGTCTACCTCCCCAGCTAAACTGAAGCAGAGCCCCCCCATTCTTTTCTGTGTCTCTAAGGCTCAAAACTTCACCTCAGTAACTTCACCTGTTCAGTCTGAATAAGTGACCAGATCGTGTACACAGCTTCTGCCTGGAACCCACACACACTGTGCAGCACCAAGCATCAGGTTAGTGCACCTTAAAGCAACAAGTAAAAAAAGGCAAACACCGGGGCATCATCAGCTCAACGTCTCACTGAATAAATTCCATTACCATGGACTCAGAAACTTGAAAAATGGCCCTATTTAAAGTCTGGGTATTATGTAGTTTTCTTAAAAGGATATTTAACAAAGGTCTGATTTCTCTTCCCTACTCCACAATCAACACACATGGTAGCAGCAGCCAAAAAAAAATTTTAAAAATCCAAAGACATGCTGGATTGGGAAAATCTGGTTTCAAGGACCATTTCCAGTGCTAAAAAGCAAAGATGTCATGCTAATCATTAAGGTATGCCTGATCCAAGCCATGTGGGGGTTTTTCCCAACTGACCTATGCTCTAAATATTGGCCAAAGAAGAAATCAACCGAAGAAAAATCGATGTCTTTGATTTGTGGCTCTAGAGAAGAATACTAAACGTCCCACAGGCTAACAAAACAACAAACAAGTCTGTCTTGGAGGAAGCACAATCAGCGTGCTCCTTAGAGGCAAGGATGGTGACATTTCTTCCCACATACTTTAGGTAAGCTGTCGGAAGGAGCCGTTCCTTGAAGAAAGAAAGGAAGACCACCCACAAGATGGATTGACAGAGACTCCAACAACGGGCCGGGCCGGGCTCACAGCAGAGATGTGTGGCAGAGGGTCAGGCTCAGAGCTGCTCTTCCCAGGGCTGCTAAGGGAGCTCCGGGGGCTTGGCTGCAATCCCACACTGGGAAGCACCAGCTGGTGGTTCATGTTCACCAGCTGCTCCCCAGGAGGAGGGTGGACCATCTACTCCCATTTCAGTAACTGTCTCTCAAATCTGCTGGAGGGTCAACTATGAGTCAGTCCCAACGTGGAGACACATAACACACACACACAAGAGCACAGTCAATTCAAGGGCATCTAACAACAACAACTAAATGATGCAATCACTAGGTTTGGAGGTGGGGGATGTATTGAGGATGGGAGAGGAAGTATAAATGATAAAACGTGTTTTCAATTTCTTTTGAGAACAAAAATTGTACCTTAGATGTCTGAATCCTTCTATAAAAGTAAGGCAAAAAATAATTCCTTTAGAGAGAGCCATATAAGTAATAGCTATAGATTCTATCAAAGTTTTATAAAATTAATACACTAACAGCTTTCATCAGCTGACAAGAAGAAAGCTTCTGGTCAAGAAGAGTCAATATTGCAGGAACATTTATCCGATTTCAGATGCAAAGGATTCCTGATGGACTGTCTGCAAATTCTGTTCTTTGTCAAGAAGCATAATTAAATGTGTCATGATTAATGACAATGAACTAGCTAATATAGTCCAGTCAATAATTCTTCTATTAAATATTATTAAAAATAATAATTACTGTCATTTTCGCTGTAACCAAACTAGCAAAAAAGATATTAAGGGACTTTAAAAAGCTTAGCTATTTCATTCACAGAAGGCAGAAAGTACTTACTAGGGCAATTAAAATCCAACCGTTAGACATTCCTATTACACAGGAATGCATACCCTGAAGACAATGCATAAATGAAATGTTACATTACAGAAAAGTTCCCTTACTCCTTCCCCCCCCCAAAAAAAACCCTTTGAATTTTACAAAAGGTAGAATTTCAATTCCTTCAAGTTTGGACAGATCTGTGGGTTTAATCTTGGCTTGCCTTGTTTGAGTAAAGTGAAAGAAAGCGATCACAAATTGTATGTGACTGGCTGGCTAAGTCTCATCTACTGTTTGTACACACATTTTACACTTTCTCTATCACACAGGACTTCTCAATGAAAAAGAAATG